ACTAACTATAATTGAACATTTTCTCTTTTAAGAACATTTTCCTCTTATCACTCAAAATACTTGGAATAAACTGACAGAAAAAAATTGCTCCATATTGAATTGGGAAATTTAACTTTTCAAATAATGAAGAGAGCAATTTCTCTTATGTGTTTAAAGTTCAGAATTAAGTACGTTTTTACTTAAAAGTTATATATTGCTAAGAAAGGTGATGAGATTATACCTGTAATCTTTTGCTATTAATTTCCCACGTGTTCCTACCATTATTTCATAGTGTGGGGTTATTGATGTTGTTGAAATTTATGCCAAGATATTTGGATCTCTTGAATATATTTTCCTTATTCTATGGGTACAAAACAGAGTTGTGGATGGAAGAGGTTTGTGAAAGTATTTAAAAGGTTTTTACTAACATTTTATTGACAACTGTGGTATGTTTACTGTCTACAGTAAGTTTAAACCAGAGAGAAGAAATTAAGGTCACTGCTGCCTTTTATTCCAAAAGAGATAGGAAAATGCATGCTTTGAACTGCTCTAACATAAAATCTTCATTGAACAAGTTCATTGACACAGATCCTCAGAATAAGACAGAATGGCTTCTTATGCCACTGGAAGAATAAGTGATGACCTATTCCTGGATGGAGAATATTATGATCCAAGCAGTGCTGGTGTGGATATTCTAAAGTGTTCCTGCAGGAGTAGGCGAATGTGGAGTGACTGTTTTGAACATTCAGACTATTATTTATGTCTCATAGTGTAGAACAAGTAGGATGAGAATATTCTTGTGTTGCACAACTCTATTTTGGAAAATTATTTCTAATTATGTGAAACTAAAGCTGGGAAAGAATTTCCTTATGTTAGAGAAAGCAATATTAGAATAAAAAAACCGAGATTTAGACAACTCTTGGAGATTCCACTGTAGTCAATTAAGAATACTAGTTAATGGCAGATTACAGCCTATCAGAGTCAGCAAGCTTCTCAGGTCTCTAGTTTGTTCATAGTTGTAGGAGCGCTGAAAAATGTGACCAGTATGCTTGAAGCATTTTATAAAGGGGAGTATCTTTTAAAGTTGTGTACACTCATTAGGTCTTATTTACTGTGTCATCCTCAGGACTCTGTGCCTCATGCCAACAAGTTAAATAATGGGCAGTTTGGGCCAGGCAGGTGGCTCAGCGGCTTAGGTGCCTGCCAGACAAGTGCAAGGTGCTGAGTTTGATCCCCAGTGGGGAGGGGGGTAAGAGGATTATTTTGGCTTATGGTGTATAAATTTCAGCTTATATGCAGCAGAATCACGCACCTAAGTTGCATGGCAGAGGGGCCTGCATGATGGAAGTTGCCCACAGCATGGAGCCAGCAAGTACACAGGGAAGGGAGGAGCCAATTCTTCACATGTTACACTCTGGAGACCAGCCCCTTCCAACCCTTCTGACCATGCCCTGCCTCCTGACCTTGCATTTAGCTGTTGGACTCCCATACAACAGCCATCTCCCAAAAGCTCTGCCTGTATTGGGACATTAATCATAACACTCATTATATTTGCTTCTCATGGGTTTACCAGAAATGACATTAGCTGATGATCAGTAGTGACTGACTTAAATTAAAGCTGAACCAGTCTTCCATGTCTCCTCTCAGAAGCCACTGATAAATAACACCCTTTGCTTGACATGTAATAGCCATTGAGGTGATTCACATGAACTCAAAACTGAGAGAGAAACCCTTCCATTCAAGCATCCACTTCTGTTAATAGCCTGTTTGTAGAGAAAATGAAGTAAAAATTAAAGCATACACAGAGGACATCGATGCTTATATCAAGTTACCTACAGTTGATAACATTATCTTGAAATCACTTGGTGAATCATTAATCTCATCCTTTTGCTCAGGGTAAAGTTTGTATGGCTTCATATTGTTCTCTTTTAACAATTCAAGTGGGCCCCGTGTCTGCAGGAAACTCCTCTGACTATTTTCTAATTTGATGAATTGTTAAAACTCTGTAAATGTGGCAGTAATTTGTCTCTGCACTGTGGACTTGATTTAGTTTTATTCTTATTTCTCTCAGGCATTATGAAATATTTATGATGAGGTACATTGGTAATCTAATGTTGGAGTCTTGTGAGAAACAAAGGAACTAATTACTAGTCAATTTACAACCACTGACACCTTCTTGCAGACTGTTTCTGCTCTTAAAAGAAGTGAAAAAATAGATGAAATAATAAGATGAACTTAATGGCTCAAAAAATCTTCCATTGTTTCCTTTCTCAGTCCTTGTATAGATCATCATCAATCATTAACTTGATCATGTTAGTCTTTTTGAACATTTGCACTGAGCATCTGCTCAGGTTCTAAAGGAATTAATCAAGTGCCATTCACGATAACAGTCTTGCCCTTGAGGACCAGGTGCTCCAGCCACAGAGTTCCCACGAAGCATATTTTAGTTTCTACACTCCAGTAGGTAACCAGAAGGCCACCTATGGTAAGTACTTTAAAATTAAATAACTTTTGGAGATGGTACATGTGCACAAAATTGACAATTCATGTTTAGTGAACAGAGGAATGTCATTTCAACTGACTTTGGTGTACAAATCCTTTGCATTTTATTAAATTAACATTTTATTCTCACGAAAGGATTTCAGTATGAGTTAGAAGGTCCATTTCTTTTGGGGTTATTCATTGGGTAGTTTGGGTCCTAGTATACTTTGTTTTCTGATGAGGTGATGTTCCTAAACTAAATGAGGTAAGTGAATTTGAAAAACACAGTTATTTTTTAAGTTATAATTTATTATGTGCTCAGAAATTTTCTGAGAGTAACAGATGTGTGAAAATGTACATTTTATTTCTGAAAAATTTTAATATGAGGATAACTAATGCTAAGATTCTACTAAAAGGAAATACTACATCCTAATATTTTTATTATTCTAGTAGTATTTATACATAAAGATATAATTTGTGAATTATTGCTTTATGACTTAAACCATTAATAACACTTTGAATACAGTAGCTAAAAGTAAACATTTTGGTAAGAAAAATTTTGATAAATCACATGCATAAGAATGTAATAATAAATAATTAATATAAATAACTAATTTATATTAATAAATAAAAAGAATAATAATTCTTTGGTATGTGAAACTTTCTTATGTATTGATTTTTATTGTTGTATTCTCAGAAATGTAGGTATTAGTTTAATCCTAATAAAACATGTGCTTGATAATTTATATCTGGATTTGTGTGTTGATAAGACAGTATTTTCTATACCTGCTTGGAATTGCAAAATGTAAGAAATAGACTTTAACTAAAATTTTTAAAAATAATAATAATAATAATAATAATAATACTGCCATAGCTTAGTTTTGGAGAATATTTGACTATTATTAGTCTTGTATCTAGTCCTTGTTCTTAGTGGCTCTTGCCTCATTTATGCCCCATCCTAATGGTCTGCAAATGTAGTCCTCTGTGTCTCTAAGGTTAACGTATTTGCTTCAAAGTCTTTCATCTTTATCTCCAGTGAAGGGCTGGTTCTTATTAACCTACCTTACTCCTACCTACTTACTACAGGTTATTAACATGTATTATTTATAAAGTGAAATTAATGTTACTAAAATTCGTGAGACATCTGAGTCAGTATACTATGAAGCATGAAATACTGTAGCATTAATTTTGCTTTAGGTATATAATGAAATACCTATTTCCTGTAATCTTACTTGAGGACACTTTAATGCTGTATTAGTCTTGTACATTGGTGATGATTTTTAATTGCAGCTATTGCTATAGTTGTTAGTTATTTTGTCAAGTTATTCTTTGCAGCTAGGTCTGGTGGCAAAATGTTGTAATTTCAGCTGCTAGGGTATATGGGTTTGGAATTCAGGCAACAAGACTAAACAATTAAGTGAGGCCCTGTCACTGAAGAAAGAGGGCTGGGATGTCGCTTTCTGGTGGTGTTTGCATAGTGTGATCAATACTTCCAATTGAATCCTAAATACATGCCCGAACTTCTTTAAAATCCTCCCTTCCTTCCTTCCTTCCTTCCTTCCTTCCTTCCTTCTTTCCTTCCTTCCTTCTTTCTTTCTTTCTTTCCTTTTCTTTCTTTTCCTCCTCCTCCTCTTTTTCTTCCTCCTCCTCCTCTTCCTTTTTCTATTCCTCCTCCTCCTCCTCCTCTTCCTCCTCCTGCTCCTTCTTCATTTAATGTATTTGGTAGAGGGTCTCACTATGCAGCTCAAACTCATAATGATCCTCCTGTTTTCAGCCTCCCAGTACTGGGATCACAGGCGTGCAACCCCACGCCCAGTCTTGCCAGCTGATTCAGCACCCTTGGAGCACCATATAGTACCGAGGATTGAACCTAAACCAGAGCTTAGTCTGCTGAGCTATTTTGCTGTCCTTTTTTCTTTATTATTATTGTATCATTTCTATTTTATTGCCACTGAATTTCTTTGAAATTTTCTGCATTTCTTTTTCTTTCCTTTGGAAAAGTAGGAAGTAGGCTTTCTTTCTATCCTGATGCAAGTGAAATGTCTTGCAGTATAAAAAAAATTGTTGTAAGAACATTAGCTAATTATTTAATCATTTTGGAATACATGAACTTCCTAATATTATAGGACTAAAATCACACTGACTTGAGCTGGTTTTTATTTCATTTCTGTTCTTGATTGCTAAGCTATTTTTGAGACGCCTGTATAAAAGTTTCCTTTGATATCAGGATTATAGTTGTCTCACTGAAATCCATGAAAAATATAGAAAATGTAACATGTAGCTGTTTAAATATATTATTGATGTTGATAGCATTCCATAATTATTACAAGAAACTTCAAATGTACTGTGTACTGATTCTTGAAGAGACATAAGAATACAACTACCATATCAACTATTCCTCGTTTTCTGTGGTGCTTAGTCCAGCAACTGGAATTGCATAGAATCTTCCTGTGCCTATGTAGTCTTAAAGCCTTCTGTGAAGTTGAAAATCTATTTCAAAGACTAATACATTTTAAATTAAACAATGTACACAGGTCAAAATGGATAGGATGCTGCTGTGGAATCTCGTGTTATTTTTTTCTGGAAGTCAAGCCTCAAGAATGTTGGCTCAAAGGAATGCCGAATTTGCAGTGGACCTTTATCAAGCTGTTTGCTTATCTCAAAAGAACAACATTATATTTTCTCCACTTGCAACAACTTTGGCTCTTGCTGTGGTACAACTGGGAGCCAAAGGAAAAGCGGAACAGCAGATAAGACAAGCTTTAAAGCTTCAGGATCCAGCCACTGGTGAGAGCCTTGCACTCAGTTCTTTGTAGTGGGTAAGACATGGTTCAAATTTATTTTGAAAGTATTAGAAAGAAGTGCAGGTTCATAGAACTTGAAAAAGTGAAAAGTATTATTGCAAACACAACATCACAATAAAGTGGAGACTCATAAATATATTTTTCACTCATCTATAAGTTTCCCTAATACAATGTAAAATAACAGTAATAAATTAATATCTACATAGATACAATATTCTATACAAGTATTTATACTGTTGTGTTTGTTTTTCTTACTGTCAAGTAATGTCATGCTTGCATGTGTTTGTGTAATACATAAATCATGTATCCATTTTCTTCCTCTACCACTTTGTTGCATCAATTTTCCTTATTCTGCAACTGAATCAAAATACATTTGATTTTAAATTATTTTATTTATTCTTATGGAAATACTCAAAACTTCAGTACATTTTTTCTAACAGTTCTCTTATAAAAATAATGTGCTTGTGTCAAAAGAATGACCAAGAAAAAGCATTAATTTATGCATTTATGCATTTTAAGGCTTTACTTAATATTTTAATAAGACATTTACTTAATATTTTAATAAGACATTTACTTAATATTTAAATAGGACATTTAAACAATGTGGTAAAGGTCTTGTTGTCCATAAGTGGTGGCTGATTTGGAATCACTCAAAGGCCTGTCTAAGTTGTGAATCCCACATACTGGATGTTATACTTTCTAATATCCCCAGCTAGCAGAGTTGTTGCCCAAATCCCTGGCCATCCCATAGTCCCTACTCCCATAGTGATTATAATTTTTTTTTTTTGTATTTAGTATAAGGCTTACAAGGTCTATAGGGTCTCACTACATAGATTAGACTCATAGTGATCCTCCTGTTTTCAGCCTCCCAAGCACTGGGATTATAGGCCTGCACCATCACACTCAGTTTCAATCTCCATCTCAGCGCACCCCCCGGGGTGCAGGGCCAACACGGCACACTGGGGATAGAACCCTGGCCACTGTGCTCTGCCTAAGCAAGTGCTTTAGTCTGCTGAGTTATCTGGCCAGCCCTTTGAATTTTAAATTATGCATCACTATCAGATATTATGCCTTAAACATTAGAAGAAATATCTGGATTTTTTGATTTATAATTTGGTTGATATGGCTATAACTAATTTCAGGGCGCTGGCCTAAGTGCAGAGTAGCTGTAGTTAGGAATTTGTTGATGTGAAAATGTGATTTATGAGCTTTAAGTTGGTTCATTTTAAATAAAGGCAATTTTGTATAGAAAGAAGCTAGAGATAAGTTAATCGCATGAGTTTTCCTTTGTGAATAATGCATAACAAAGCTACTGTATTCTAGATTTAGTCCTGATTAATTTCAGCAAATCCCACTGCACCACTCCCAGAAGCACTAAATCAAATGATATTGCTTTGAAAAGCAATACAATGTTTATGAATACGTGTAAAGTTGATTCTATGATAAGATAGCAAAATTAGAGAGCTTCTGATTTCCAAACTCCTTTAAATGGCTATATCTTAGAAATGCAGAAGTCTTAATAGCTGCATTGTAAACAAAGTTATCACCATAATACTAAAGCATCACCAAACATATATGCAGCACATTAGTTACTCTGTTGTGTGCTTGATATATATTGTATCTTTTAATATTTATAATTGTCCTCTGAGGTAAATATAACTATGCCATATAGACAAGAAAACAGGGAGAAACAGTCAAGAATAATTCAAAAAATGATTCAGTGAAACTTATAGATAAGAACTGCAATGAAAAATGGTATATTTGCTTTGGAAAAGCATACATAAATAATCAAATATTAATGCTCTAATACAATTAATAAGATCTACCATGAGGGTTCGCTGCTCTGCCATGGTCAGGGCTGGAGATAAACACAGATGGAGGAGAAGTGCTAAAGGAAGGTGAAATCGCAAAGCAAGAAGACAACAAAAAGAAAACCCAGAAAAAGAAAGAGCGGAAATGATGCATAAAGGAGTGAGAGAGAACAGGGTTCAGAAGCAGAATGGAATGAAGAACTAGGTTGCAAGGAAATGGAGAATGGTGCCTGGCAGTCTGCCAGAAACAGTGGTCAGGAGTTGGGGTGAAAGGAAGAGAAGGGGTGGAGGACAGTGCTGAGCCAAATCAGAGATATAGATCCTGGCTTCATTTTATTTTCATTTTTATTTATTTAATAATTTTATTGAGAAACAAATAGCAATGAGACAGTTTCAAAACCAATTAGTAAGACAGTTTCAATAATTAATACATAGGATATTGTTGTCTTAGTGGTTATTCATTATACAAGATACCGACATGATATCCTGTCCACAGACACTATTAGAACAAATCTTTTTATTCATTGAATTAAGAGAATGGAGCTGTATAGCTATCCTATTTTGAATATACAGATACAAAATGGTCCTTCATTTATATCCCCTTTTATTGTTTAGTTTTGTCAGAGAAGGGTATTTCATTGTCATTTAAATATTGTAGGTGCGTGAATTCAGCAAAATAATCCAGTATAGTCCAGTAGTCCATAATAGTAGTGGGCTTTCTGTAAGACTGGCAATGTCAGAAGTTGTTGACTTGAGCCCTTTACAGCTCAGCATATTGATATGGCTTTACTTTTCATATCTCATTATTATACTTTTCTACTGGATGGTTAACACCAAGATAAAGGTTATATAAGACTTATATAACAAGAAATGTAACTTTTGTATCTAATAAGGTCAGTCAAATTTTAAATGACCATACTCAGTTTTTTGTATAAAATTTGACTTTAAAATATTGCATTGAAATATAAGGTGTCACCAGTATTGAGGGTTTTCTTATCTTCTCTTTAGATTTTATGCTGTTCACTACTGTATTACTGTCTCTGCTATTGCTCTTCTACCATTTCTTTTGAAAAATAGCTTTGAACAATCTGATGTTGTCCTTGCTTTCAACCCGTGTTCTCTGCACACAACTCCAGGCTTATTCTATGAAGGCCCATGGGTGAGCACACAATCTTCGTTCCAATACCAAGAAGACTGGCTTTCCATGTCCTCAGTTTTCTTTCTTTTCTCCAGTATCAAAATATGTGCTCCGAATCCCTTTTCTGTTTCCTGGGACATCTGGCAATTCTCCATTTTGCTTTGAGTCCAGCAATGCTGCTGATTAAATTGAATCAATTGAAGATGCTTTTTTACTCTAAGAAGGCTTTGAGCAGATAGCTGGGGCCAGAGATATAGATCAATAGTGGAGCCTTGCACGTGTGAGGCCTTGGGTTTGATCCCCAACACTGCACATGAGACTAGTGATTTGTCAAAGGGCAGCTGTTTGTCACACAGTCTTAAGCCTTAACTACATGACATAAATCTATTTGCTCTGATGAATGAGGTAGAGCTATTGTTTTTCTTCCTTTCTCTTTTGAATGCTTTTCCTTTAAAGATGTTCCTATGCTACAAATTCCAGAAAATTAATTTCAGATTCTGTCACTTCATTTCTGACCTGAAAATTAATTTCAAATTCTGTCACTTCATTTCTGACCTTCATTCTTTTGGAGGAGCTCTCCTGTCTTTATTCAATAAATCTTCATTATAACATCCTAGCTATTAAAATATTTCTTTTTAAGCTTAAAATTGTAATAAATTGTTACATTGCTTTTGAATCCATTATGTAAACAAGTAAAATAGAGTTAGTTTCTTCCTATTCTTTTGTAAAGAATTCTGGATGAGGAGCCAAGGAGATGGCTCAGTGGAATAAGCGCTTGTCTGGCAAGCACAAGGGCCTGAGTTCAATCCCTGGTTCAGAAAAAAATAAATAAATAAATAAAGTAAATAAATTTGAAGAATTCCAGGCAAGACTCTTCAGATGTAATGGTATAGAAGTCAAACCTCATCTTTTTAGTTCTTGGCAGGGAAGCCAGCAAACACTGCACAAGACTGCAGCTCCAGCGGGAGCGCTGTTCTCTTTTCCACACTAATACCCTGTGAGCTGCGAGCTGCCAGATAGAAAATGTGCTTCCGCACATACAGACCCCTTATTTCATTAGTGGACCCAATAACAAGTTCCCCTGAATACTTTTGAAAACTATTCAGCGCATATCTTTTATTGATGAATCATGTTTTGTTTTCATTAGAGATTTATTTAATATGATCAAGTTAAGACTTAAGAGTTATAAAAGTGTTGTTTTCAGCAGTTCATTGAAAAATGTAATGAAGATCTTGAAAAAACATATTGCTTCAACGTATTTTTGAGTGTTTGAGTTTTAAGGTTAAGGTGGAAAAGAATGAAAAATGTTCAACCATTTAGTAATGAGCAGAAAGCTACCAAGAGAATGTCAGGATAGATATTTCACATATGCATGTTCAGCTTCCAGGCAACCCCACATCAGAACAACGCACCGATAAAGAACACCCAGGGGCCATTCTTTGACTCTGACTCATTGGGCTAGCAGTGATCATTGAAATGGTTAAAAATTTTTATTATCCATAGAGATAGCCAAAGCACATAGATTCATGCATCTGGAGAAATAGATAATTCCGATTCTTGCACACTTGCACAGATGATTAGCTTGGAAGTTTCAAACTCTGGATAGGAACAGTTACTGAAAAGACTGGAATTCTTAAGCTGAAATATGAGAAATATTGAAATAGATTGCTCATGCCTGTCCTACCACCATTAGCATGCATTAGGATCTTCCTTTTATTAGAATCACATGCTCATATTATGCAAAAAATAAAATTCTAAACATAAATTTCCAGTAATAAAATCGAGCTAAATATATTGTAAAGAGAGGCTTTTCTTCAGGCTATATAAATACATATCTTTGTCCTTTACCAATTTTAAATTTACATAGATATTCTTTATCCTATATAAAAGTTGATTTCTCTACAGCTTACATATTTTAAAGGACATAGATGCTTGAAATATTTATACTACCTTAGGATCATTAGTTATACCTAAGAGTGCAAAAATGGTGTTATGAAGCAGAATGCTTAGATTGCAAAGCTGAAAGCTGTTGTTTTTATGTTGTTCAATACGTCAGTATACATTATAATTGTTTTTTAGGAGAAGAATTTTCTGTGCTGAAGTCATTTTTCTCTGCCATCTCAGAAAAAAAACAAGAATTTACATTTAATCTTGCCAATGCCCTCTACCTTCAAGAAGGATTCGCTGTGAAGGAACGGTATCTCCATGGTAACGAGGAGTTTTTTCAGAGTGCTGTAAAACTGGTGGATTTTCAGGATGCAAAGACTTGTGCAAAAACAATAAATACCTGGATAGAAAGCAAAACAGATGGTAAAGTTTCCTGTGTTCATGAAATCATTATTTGCCATCATATACACGGTTTTTAATACCCGAAAGACTGACAGAACATTTTTCTATTCCACTGTGGATCAGAGGATCAAGTCTCTTATATTACTTTGCTGTTATTTAAATTAATCCAAATCGGCAAAACTAAGAGAAACAGGAAGCTGTTTCTGAGAGATATCTATTCACAGGATTCTCTTTTTCATTGAACTCTTAAGAGAAAAATTACAGTAATAATTTTTGTGGGAACCAAAATGAATTTTCAAGTATGGAAGCAGGAGTTGTATGATTGGCCAGGTGGGAGCTGGCTTTCTGAACTCCAAATGCCTTTTGCCTACATATGCAGAAAAAATTCAGCACTATTTAAAGAACTGTTAATGTTTTATAATAAATATTAATAGTACTATCATAAACACAGTAGTCTAATCTTGAATTTAATTGCAAGCTAGCAAAATTCTAACATGACTAAAGAGGTATGTAACAAGCTTAAAGTCTATTAGATCTGACTTGAAATTTTAAGAGGTTGTAAGTTATTGGAATTCACTATATCATTAACCTACTATGTATGATTTACCTGCTGGAGAAGCTTGAAACAGTCTGGATAATACCTATAAACATGCAGGAAAAATTGTTTTTTCTTCATTCTGTCTGAAAGACAATAGGAATAATTTCCCTGAGGACAGTCCATTATTGTCTATGTCCACATTTGCTTGTGACAGTCTCATATTTGTTATTTCCTAGTGAAAACCCTGCTTCTTAGTGAAATATTTAACCATATTCCCTTTCCTCTCCAACTTGCTAAATTTTGATAAGACACCTTGTCTTGTTCAAAGTAGCTGTGCACAGGACAGCTTTACTTTAATCCTGTTTAAATGGTTGCACTGAATCACTATTTTATGTCCCTCCCCCATACTTCTTCTTTACTCTCTTCATAGGAAAAATTAGAAACATGTTTTCTGAGGAAGAATTTGGGCCTCTGACTCGACTTATCCTAGTGAATGCTATATATTTCAAAGGAGATTGGAAACAAAAATTCAGAAATGACACACAACTGATGAATTTCATTATGAAAGATGGCTCAACAGTCAAAATTCCAAGGATGAAGGCTCGCCTGACCACAAAATATGGTACAGTGAGATGGCATACTTCTTAAAGCTTGGCTTTGGTAATTGCTGTGCTTATTTGATATTTTCTTTTCTCTGTTGCAGGTTATTTTTCTGAATCCTCCGTGAACTACCAGATTTTAGAATTGCCTTATAAGGGTGATGACTTTAGTCTAGTCATTATACTTCCTGCAGAAGGCGTGGACATAGAAGAAATGGAAAAACTCCTGACAGCTCAGCATATCCTGAAGTGGTTCTCTGAGCTGAAGGAAGTGGAAGTGGAAATCACTCTCCCCAGGTGAGGAAAACCACTTCACTATAAGGGTGCAAATGTCCTTCCAATGGTGGAATTTGAATAGCCAGGTGAAAGATGAATGCTGGAAAGGGAGACTACTGAAAACGACCATAAAAATGCATTTGGAAATACTGTTCTGCTCTGGGCATAAAAGCAGTTCTTACCCTTGCTCACATTGTTTTTTACCATGAGGAACACTGACTTTGTTTAATTTTTATCTGAAACACATGAAAACAATGTACATCTTTCAACTAGAAAGTTGCAATTAAATTAAATTAAATTACTGAGTTTTTATCATACCAGATTTTCTTTCTTTAATAGTTTTTGCTAATTCAAATTTATAAAATTCCTCTTCTATTATGTTTAAAGGAAACAAAATCCTCTAGAAATATATTATGGTATAAGTGAAGCAATTAATAACCTTCTAACAGTCATTGAGTGATAAATATAATCCTGTGGTCAATTAAAGGTAGTTAATACAACATAAAAATTGCAAAGAATTATTTTAGGAAGCAATAATTATAAACACTAGTATGCTTCTAAGTCACAGGAGAAACTAGAAGGAAAGTGAATCTGAACTAACCTGTGTCATAGTAAAAATTGTATAACTGCTTAATAATCTCTTTCTTTACCTTCCTTGACATGCTGGAGAAAGAGCTATCCTATTTATTTTCAACTTGAGCCTCCTTTTCTTTTTTTCCCCTTTACTCTTTACAACATTTTGTCTCTCACGCTCTTTCTCTCTAACTCTCTCTCATTCTCCCACCTCATTGCCAGATTTACTTATTTCCTTTAAGTTTTCCAATTAAAATATTTATTAGAGTTTTGTCTTCAAAATTTATCTTTACTTATTCCTTCTGAGAAATACCTACCTTTATCATACATGTCTCTGAAATCCGAGTCACTAATCATAGCTCTTTTCAAATCTATAATCTATAATCTATATAGCTCTGGATGTTATATATTCATTCAAGGAATTTTTTTTATTTCTCACTATTGTTTATGCCAAGCATTGATGATGTAATGGCTAACATGATAGTTTAACTTCTAACAATTGAAATGAAAATTTTTGAGAGTAAATTATCTTCAAATTTACCCTTTTTTGCTGTGGAAAGATTTCACTGTAATGGAGTAAAAAAAATACTATTCCACATACCACAATGGTGGTCATATGAGAATTACTTGATTATTTGGAGCTGAGGCTTTATCCAAATAAGATGTTGGGGCCCACTTGTATTGGGTTACAGTATAAATGATAAATGCCTCAATAATATGCCCCTGTTCAACACTTAGCTAATCACAAAGTAAAGCTTCCTAGCACTTTCAGCAATTTTGCAGGAACATTCCATAGTCCACAAATCTATGCAGGCAGCTGTGCTTTAGCACTCTTTCTGTTTTGGCTTTATTATCTGCTTTCACAATCTGTAGGTCCCTGTCTCATGCAACTACTTCTATAATGTAGACTAGTTCGGTTTCTTAATTCCTCCAAACCCAATATTTATGGATTGAATTGTGTCTCTCCAAACTCGTATAATGAAATCCTAATAATCAACACCTCAAATATGACCTTACTCAGATGTAGGGTGCTTCCATTCAAGCTAAAGGAAGACTATTAGAGTACACTCCAATCCAGTATGAATGGTACCTTATAAAAAGATAAAATTTGATACAAAGCTATACATACAAGAAAGGCATTGTGAAGAGACTCTAAAGATTGCCATCCATTATCCAAGCACAGAGGCAAGGAACACATCCATGTTAGCAGCCCTCCAAAGGAACCAGTAGTGTCGAAATCTTAATTTGGGACTTCTAACCTCCATACCTTTGAAATAGTAAATTTTTGTAATTCAGACTACCTTAGCAAAGTAATGCAAGTGAAAAAAACCTCTTGGTTTAACCAAACGTTACTTAGAGCTTGGAGATAACAAAAGAAGTTTACCAAGCAGGAAGTAACCTAAATTTGAATACTAACAATGACTTTGCTTGGCGGGTAGAGCCCTTCCTGTACCATGGAGTCTCCTTCTGTCTGTTGCTCTTCTTAGTCAGCCATTGTCATGGTGCCTGGGTGAATCCTGAGCCTAAATAGCTGCCATCCTACTCAAGAGTCAAATCTTCTTTCCTCAGCAAAGAACTTAAGTAACCAAGTTGTCCTTCTGTCTCTTCTGAGTCTACTTTCCAGTTGGGGCAGTGCTTCCTCAAAATCAAAATGACAAGGAGAGGTAAATGTTTTGAATCAATTAGGACAGTGAAGTACAAGTTGGACAACTTACACTCACCATTCATTGTAAGGACTGATTAAGACCCCAAGACAAGAAACCAAGACCACTATACTAGGGGAATTCCCTATAATTGTTATTATAGTATTAGTAAAATTTGTATGTTTTATTGTTGATTTCATGTAATATTCAATTATCGTGTTTAGTCCCTGAACCTAGATTTCAATGCTTAGTGAAAACAATGTTTTCATATCCTATAGAACAGCTCACATGCTCATCATCTCAAACTTCCATCTTTCTCACTGGTCCTCTTCACATAATGAAAATCATTGGATTGCTTTTCCAGATAAGTGAACAACTGATTTTATAAGGTGAATTTAAGTCTTTAATCATGTAGAAATGGAAGCATTAGTTGGCCGGTGTACCCTTGTTTGTGTACAGATTCCTGTTTCAAAGACATTTAGAACTTATGACAGTGTCAAGCATATTAGTGTTTTATTCCATGTATCCATTGTACAAAATCTGGAAAATAGAAGGTTGCTAAACCAAAGACGACTGGTATTCTTTGTTGTTGTTAAGATTGCTACCCAGCCAACATCGAACTAGAAACACTGTCATCTTGTTCCTGTCAGTCTCCTTCACTCTTCTCCCTCTGCCTAGTAAGCCTTTGTCCACTGTGTCTGATCACTAAATTTCCATTTATCCTTCAAGAATTACACTTGAGTTATCTCTCCCATGAACTTTGCCTCTAAATTGCCCAACTGAGAGAATCATTTCCTATCTTTATAATTCATGAAGATTTACATCATAGCATTTATTACATTGCATTTTTATTTCTTGCTTCCATTCTTGTCAAGGCTTTAAGATGTGGATTCTGGGCTGGAGGGTTTTGTCTCATTCCTTTTGTTTCTGTAATCCTTAACACATTTTGTGGGGCCTGGGTAGTGTTCAGTGAGCCCTGTTTGGTTAAATTGCAGAAATATTTTCAAGGAAAGAAATTTCATATTATTTCTAATAATCTAATTTAAAACATCCCTAGCAGAATTCAACTCTCGGGGCATTCTTTAATTCATTCCTTGTGAGTATACCAATGAAGCTGTCTCACCTTCTGTACATTCAATATAATGAAAAACAGGATATCAGGAAGTTATTTAAAAACTTCTCCCTCCTGAAAGGAAACAGATTTTTTTTTGTTTCCTACTTAAATCACAGGCCTGAAAATTGTGTCAATTATTTAATCACATAAATTTACAACTTCACATTTAAAATATATTCACATTTTTTAATAGAATGGCTCACAGTTTCTTGAAGGAATGATTTGCTTATGTATATGTTAAGTACATCAACAATTTCAGCCCATCATAATGTATACTTTGAGTTAAATTTCCTTAGCACTAAAATCGTGTATTGAAAGTTCTGACATACATCTTTTTCCGTGAATAATTGTTTTTTAAAACAGAAAAATTCATATTAAAATGCATGCCCAGGAAAGAAAAAATTATATAATTCAATAAATACTTTTATGTGTGCTGAAAAAGTATATTTTATTTTTTAGGGTTATAATTTTTACAGTTGAATGGTTATTTAATGGTTTGCAAACCAATAAAGACTATTTGGGTATTATTAGAACAGTTCCAACAATTGTCTTAATTTACTAAAGGTGCTGTAACAAAATAACAAAGTAGTCTAGTTGCTTAAAAATTCTGTCACATTTCCAGTCTAAAAGTCGAATTCTAGAATCCACATATGATGCTGTCTCCAGACTATAGGTAGAGTTCATCCTTCTTTCTAGTTTTTTGTACTAGGCAGCATACTTTTTCTTCTTCCACTAGATGCATCACCCCAGCTCTTGCATCTCTTGTCACATGGCCATTTGTCATCCCATGGCATTGTCAGATCTTATAGGACATTAATCACATATAAATAAAGGCCAAAACAACTCCAATTGGACTTCTAGTTAATTAATTATTACCATAATTATCCTAGTGCCAAATAAAGTCATATTATCAGGTGCTGGTGTTTAGGGCTTCAATACATGAATTTGAGTGTGTGTGTGTGTGTGTGTGTGTGTGTGTGTGTGTGTAGACAAAATTCAATACATTACACCACCCATTCTAAACTCTATGCTGCTATAAAACAAAATGTCTCTTTCATGGAAAATTATGTAAGCTTCAAAGGTAGGAATACTAATCATGAGGAGACCTATATCCAAGCTATAGTAGGAAGATGTGAATGATACTTAAAGTTTTTGATTGAGAAACACTTATCCTCCCAATTTTTTGATGTGTAACTAGTTTAGAATCAAGACCAAAAAGATGTTGCATAGTCTAAAAATCTTAGGGAGCTGCTAAAGTATTGTCTGCAGCACACTAGATATTTCAACTTGGAAGTTGACCTGCAATTCAACATTAGCGAAAACAATCATGCCGCTTTCCTAAATGTAATGTGAGATCCCACCAATATCTTTTAAATATTTGTTTCTTTTTGGCTGTTTTTTCACAGTACATGATGTTGCTGTATTCATCAAGAGAGTGGGTACATGCAAATAATACAGATTGGTTTTTGTTGTCCCCTTCCCCTTTCCCCCCACTTCCCTTCTTCCACCTCTAAATCCCTTTGCCCATTTTCATTCTAGTAGTTTTTGTTATTCCTAGCTCATGTTCATGACATAGGGCTACATTCGCTGAAGTTACTAGGTTCCTGTACATGGCATACTTCTTTAATTCTGCTTACTTCCCCTCCCCCTCAGCCTCCTGGACCCCTTCCATTAGCAGCAGAGCTGTCCTCTTGTCTCCTATCCATCCTATATTATTCTCTTTCTTTGTATATGGGGCTTGGAATTATATTTTGACCTTTTTGATTAGAGAACAGTGGCAGTCAACATTTTAGTGTTGGATAAAAATGGGCGTGAGCTTAAATTATAACTCTAGCACTTATCTTGACCTTGGGGATGAAGTCAACTTTCTCAGTCCTCATTACAGATAGGTTAATGGCACTGACAAGACTGACTTCCTAGGATTTTTGTGATGATTAAAAACTATAATCTGTATTAAGTGCCTCATCTATGAAAGTGCTACCTCATACATGGATATCTATAATTGCAATAATTACAGGTAGTTAGAAATTGGCCGTAGATTATATTTCTATTAAATAGCTGCATACATCTCTATTGCTATAATTTTCTTTGTACTATAATATGAGCAGGACTATTATTTAAATGGCCCTTCAGTGATAATTAGGCATTACCAGAAGTTGTAATAAGTCTTGTGGTATTCTTGTCATGATCTTGAAATTACTGGACTATTATAGTCAAAATCACCAATTTGTAGGTATATTGGACATATATTTTCCCCCTAGTAGGGGGCTATGCTCTGTCCAGCTTAAAGAGCAGGATATGGCAAACAGAAAGAAAAAGACTAAAACTATCATCTTTGCCTTTTATCTTTCTTAGTAAGAAGTTACAGTAAGAAGAAATTGGAAATAGTGCATATCAAGGGGCCAGTGTGGATGCAGGTGCCCTCTGTGAGGCCCCAGAACCAGGCATGGTGGCACATGCCTGTAATCCCAGCACTTGGGAGGTTGAGCCAGGAGGATCTCCGTGAGTTCAAGACCAGCCTGGGGGTTACAAGAATGAGCCCAAGCCCAGCTCAAACTGCATAGTGAGATGGTCTCAAAACAAAAACAAAACAAAACAAAAAAACCTCAAATAAGCAATTTTCATTTTCAGTAGATTTTAATATTCATGTTGTACCTATTTCTAGTTAGCTAAGATTCTGAATGAGTGAGCATCTTTCAAAAATGCATATTCTTTTACTAGTATGTAAATTAAGCCCAGTGAAGTTCTGACACAGCATGTTCATTGTTTCAAAGAATTATAATTAAGAGTCTTGCTTCATATTTGCTAATTAAAGCAGTGATCTAATTAGACTGCATATTCAAGCTAATTTATAGCCCCACATGTTGGTTTACCTTTTAGATAACTAAAGATCCTTGAATAGCTTCGAAACGTAAAGCACCAGAGCAAATACCTGGTGGGCATTCACAAACTTCCAAGAATTGCCAGAAATTTCTCTGATATGAAAAATATAGTTCTATGTTTAGGAATGTTGCTTTTGTCTTTATCTTTATTTTAAAAAGCTTCTAAAGTAGTTTTAAAATGCAAATCGATGTTTTAAGCATCCACTAAATAAATTTAAAAAGCACTACATTTCCCCCACTCTTTAAATTAGAAGAGTAAATGAGATTCAATAGTGCTGCTGATTTGGACTCTAAGACAATTTTATTTATTTATTTATTTATTTATTATTTATTTATTTACCTATTTATTTATTTATCTATTTATTTATTTATTTATTTTGTAGTACAGGATCTACAGGATCTCACTACACAGATCCGACTCATAGTGATCCTCCTGTTTTCAACCTCCCAAGCACTGGGATTACAGATGCGCACCACCAGGCCCAATCTCAGTCATCAGCTCAGTATGCCCGGGGGAGGGTATGGCACAGCATACCACGGATTGAACCCTTGGTCACTGCGCCTGTCTAAGCAGAAGCTTTAGTCTGCTGAGCTATTTGGCCAACCCTAGTGGTGCCTGAGAGAGATTTTGAGATTCTTTGGTTGATTTCCTTCTTCACAGGTGGGGAATACAGAAGTGCACCAGGATGTCCTAAAGTATGTATGGGCCTGCATCAGAAGCTCTGGCTAGCTGTCCTCAACCTTTATTGTATTTTTATGTTTTACTTTTTTATTTTTTTTTTTTATTACCAGGGATTGAACTCAGGGCCTTGAGCTTGCCAGGCAAGCACTTATTCTACTGAGCTGTTTCCCTGGCCCATACCCTTTTTGTATTTTTATTTTTTTGTTTGTTTGAAAGAAACCTGGCTCTCTTTCAAGCATTTACCACTTTAGAGCATCCATTGAGAAGATATTAGGTGTGTTTCAAACCTGAAGAAATTCACGTATGCTGTGACCATGAGTGGGGCAGATGACACATTATACATGACTATCTGTCCCTTGGTAAGAAACAGTCTTCTCAGAGGAAGGGTTTGTTCTGTTTGCTGCTCACAGTTTCATGATTGTCTGCCAGGATCTGTCTTTGATGGTGTGAAAAGTTTGAGTACATAGAGTTGCTGGAAGGACCTTGGCACTTCTAAGCAAGGAATTAAACCATGAAAATTTAGAGCTGTTTTGTTAGGTAATTGTTGTTTGAAATATAAAATGCTCTACTTATTATTCCTATCAACTATTTATCTAGGAAGCAGGATATCAGCAATTCAGAACAGATTGGTAGAGCTAGGGAAAATACTGTGAAACCTCAGAAAGATGTAGTTAGGATAATGAGAACAAAATATTTCACTCACAGTATCATCTCTTCTACGTCACTCATTTTATGAAGACCATTTTTGGGGTACAATGTTTCTAGAATTTTCCTCTTTACCATTTCTTTTTAACAGATTGAATGTAGAGCAAAAATTAGACTTCAAGGAAGTTTTGTATGCTTTGAACATAACGGAGATATTTACTGGTGGCAGCAACCTTTCTGGAATAACAGGTAATGTAATGAATAATTTCTATATTGCCACATTAGGTTGTTTTCTTAGTATGGTACTATATTAACTGACTGATCGTAAAACAGAAAGACTAATTAGCCCCAGAAAACATATACATGGTGAATATGAGTCACAGGCATGCTGAGCTGTCTATGAACAAGCACTCTACAGTGTTTTGCATTTTACTTTTCTTTAATGAAAGTAAAGAAGCATTTCATCCTGTTAGATAAACATTCTATTTTTTTAAACTTTTATTAGTACATGTTTTCATTTACATAATGATTACATTCACTGTTGGAAATTGGTACATGAATAAAACACATTTCATTTCTTTTTTCCCCTTTTCTCCTACAGTCCTTTTTGTTTTTCTAAGATTAGACAAGCATTTTAGTTATAATTTTAATATAAGCTTATAAGTAAAAGTATTATAAGGGCTTATGTTTCTGCCCTCTGTAGATTTCCATCCCCATACATTGGAGTTACAACGTTATGTCTCTTGTGTAAGTAGAGCTAATCCAGTTCTAGATTGGACTCTGTAGTGATCCACCTGTTTACAGCCTCCCAAATGCTGGGATTACAGGTGCGTGTCACCACGCCCAGTCTCAATTGTCTCAGCTTGCCCTGGGGATGGGGTCAGCAGAGCAGGCCTGGGGATCGAACTCCTGGCCCCTGTGCCCACTTGCAGGCACTTTAAACCACTGAGCCATTTGGCTGGCCTAAATGCTCATTTGTACAATAATGCAAGATAGCTTTTTAATCTGTTATTTTGGGCAGTACTTATTTATTTTTAGTTCAAAAATAGATAACTATACAGAATAATGGAGAAAGTGTGTCAATGCATCGCTAATTTATTTATCCTTTTTTAAAAATAGTCTTCTGTGTAATAAAAGCTCCCAAAGGACTGTTTTTTGTGTTTTAATATGAAATATTATGGAGATATTTTATGTTTTCCTATATAAGTATCTGGACTTCAGAGTGACATGTTAGAATTTATCATCTCATCAATTTTATGGGCAAGAGAAGAGAATGAATAAATAACCTTTCTGGTTGGGAGAGGAAGTCGGGGCGCACAGGTGTCACAGGTGTTCATTGTCACCTTCACATAGGACATGGCTACTTATTCTCACATGAGAGATAGTCTGACTTCTTTGAAAATTTCATCAACACCAGGAATGAGACAGTCAACATTCAGTGCTGCGACAGGATGCTATCTAAATATGTCTTCTAGGATAGCCATCTCAGCAACCTGTAATAAACATTTTCAAATATTTTTTCTGTCTTCTTTTTGTCCTTAGGAAGCTTGCTTAATATAATTTAGGCTTTCAAATAACCATTCCGAAAATTCCTACTAACTGTAACATCTATAAAATCTTTCAACAATTGATTCAAAAACATACTTCTGAAAGTGTTCACTAAAGAAATCATGCCAACAAACAATTCTTAGTGGAGGAGGGTAAATATCCAACATTTTCTGCTCTTTTCTACCTGGGTTGCCCATTCAGGTTAGCGTTGTCTTGTAGCCTGTAATAGAGCCCCCAGAGCCAGTACTGACACTGCAGCTGGTGGTCAGGAGCGTAATGAATTCCCTGCTATCCTATTTGAATAAAATATTTTCACAGTTACTTTTGTAACTGGGAAATTCATATTTCATTTCTCACTCTGCTGTTATTTCCTGGAGTCAAGAACTTTGTCTGTCTGAACCTCAACTTTCTAATCTAAGTGAGATAATACATTGCAGTGACTTTAGAAAAATGAATAAAAGAATGTAAGTGAACTGCCTACTTCATCTACCACATAGTAGACTCTGCATAAATGTAAAAAAAAAAAAAAAGATCAAGCAGTTGGAGTCATGTTAGCATTTACGTGTACATATTCTTACAAAACTCTAGAAGTTCTCTTGACTTCTTAATTTTGTAGAAACATGTTAGGACTTTTGATAAAAGTTAAGGGAAATGTTATGAAGGTGTAAGAAACAGTGAGTTGTTAGAGTTTGCATTCTTTGTTATTTTCCTGAGACACGGTGGAACACTGGAGACCGCGTGCCTCGCTGCCAGGAAGCCTCGGGGCTGGGCGGGTGCTGGCCTGGGCTCGACAGTCCCCTCCTCCTACACGGTTTCTGCCTCTCGGTGCAGGCCCTTTGGTCACTTATTGTGAGCTGTGCTTGTGAATCCTGACTTCTTACAGGCAGTTCTGGGAGAAGAAGGCATTTATTGGCTTGACCTTGATAGAGTCCGTTCACCTGCATTTCTGTTAATCCACACTGCCTCAGTGGCTGCTCTCTTTTCTTTTTTTAGTTTCTTTCTTTCTTTTTTTGTATTTTAGGACCGGGTCCATCAGGTTTACAGGGTCTCACTATGTAGATCGGACACCTAGTGATTCACCTGTGTTCAGCCTCAAAGAGCTGGGATTATAGGCCCACGCTGCCATACCCAGTCTCAATTGCTGGCTCAATACATCCCTGGGGACGAGGCCGGCACAGCACACTGGGGATTGAACCCCGGGGGCTGCATTTGCCTAAGCAGGCTCTTTAATCCACTGAGCTATTTGGCTGGCCCTATCTTTTCTTTATTTTTACAGATTTCAGCCATGGGCCTATTCATACCCATCATTTTATTTATTTGACAAATGTTAGTATTAAGATTCCCCTGTGCCAGGCAGATTTCCAAGGCATGTATCTGTTGAGGCTCTGAGGAATACAGTCAGATCTGTCTCATGCCACAGAGATAACTTGACAGGGCTTCTGAAGACATGGCTTCACTTCCTCCCTTTCAAGAAAATTACCCCTGCAGGTTTCTCTCCCAGCAACATTTCCTATGTACATTGACACCACTGAAGGGAGGAGAGGCACATTCTCTTGCAGATCAGACCCATGCAGAACAAAATGTTTGTGAGACACTATCTTATGCTGAAAATATTAGCAGGTTTTAAAGTATAACTCTCAAGTGATTTGGTGACATATGACACAACAGCTTTTTAGTCTTTGATAGCCTCACTGATCTTGAAGTAAAGTAAATTCTGCTTTGAACTTAGATCAAAACTGAATACAGAATTTAAAAGATAAGGTGTCTCTGAGGTTGAATACAAAGGCTGGGATTAATTCTAATCTGAAAAGCCTCTTTTATTCTGTCTAAAGAGCATGATTCAGAATAAAACCCTCTGTTTGTTCACATATTTTATCTAGTTGGATACCTAACTTCATAATGAGGAAAATTTTATCTTTCTATGTCGACATCAGTGTCATAACTGTAAGAACTAAACGTAAATTATTCATATCTTCAGAAAATTGACTACATAGGAATTATTTCATTTGTTGAATTTTGGTCTTTGTTTATTTGAAAGTGTAATTCATTTGGGATCCAAGAGGTAGTAGCTCTGATTTGACCTATAAAAACCTCTTTCCTCTTGTCATCAGATTCAGCAGATGTGTATATTTCCCAAGTCAAGCAAAAAGTTTTCTTCGAGATAAATGAAGATGGCAGTGAAGCTGCAGCATCCACCGGTAGGACAATTGATACATCTGTAAACTAGGAAGAAAGATGGGGTGAAAGGTGCTGATGGGGCGAAAGCTTTGCTAAATTCTGATGTCACTTTTCTGGGCCACGTAACATATGACAGGAATAAAAAAGACAGTGCTTGTATACACTGTCCATACACATCTTTTGTCACAGTATGATGCAAAGAAGAGGGATGAGATTTAATCAGCAGTTGGGGCTCCTCCCTGATACCTGTAAATTTGCGAATTGCATTGCCTGTCAAATAGCAGATAGGAGCTATGGGAACAAACCTTAGGACTCCCATATGAAGTCTTTTTTTTTTTTTTTGAAATGCTCAGTCTTAGTAATTGTATTTAATTTTAGTCTTCCATTACTAGTCTCCATTTTTCTAATTCGATTCATGTTATTATCTCTGTGGTGGCTAATCACAAACTTAGGTGCAAATCAGAATCACCTGGGAACTTGTAAAAAAAATTGTGCTCAGATACACTTTCAGATAATTGAATCCATAGCTCTCTAGGTAAGATTCAGGTTCTAATATTTAGGTGAATTTCTCCAAGCGATTCTAATGTGCATGCAAGGCAGAGAGCCTGTGGCCACTGTGGCTGGCAGCTTGTCCTTGTCACTATAAGTAGAATGAATAGTACGGTAACAATATCAACTCTCAGGAACTTGTTAGAAAAGCATAGTCTAGGGCCAGCCAGATAGCTCAGTGAATAAAGTGCCTGCTTAGGCAGATACAGGAGCTGGAGTTCAACCTGCAGGCCTGCCATGCTGGACCCGCCCGCAGGGCACACTAAAATGGCAACTGAGACTGGGTGTGGTGGCACACACCTGTAACCCCAGCTCTTGGGAGGCTGAAAACAGGAGAATTACCACGAGTCTGATCTATGTAGTGAGACCCTGTAGACCCTGTACCAAATACATAAAAAATAGTATTATTGATAAATATTCAAAAATTTATATCCATGTTTCAAATTTTTCTATTAATTTGTAACTGCATGTACCAATGGATTTTGCCATCTGAGTGGAGCACACTGGATTTTCATCACTATTTTGCCATCTCCTGAAGAACTTTGCCTTGCTGTGCTCAAGACAATTAGATTGTAGGGGGTGGATTACACCAACCATCAGAAAAAGAGAAAGAATGCCTTTGAATGAGGTTGACAGTTCATGTAACAAACTTTCCAGTAGCTTCTACACAGAGCTGCCAGCATCCTTTTAGGTCATTATCTTATCCTCTCATTATACCGGTGGATGAAGAAGGGCTATCAAGTGAAGTGCTTGCCAGAGGTCATGCTATTAACTGACCACAGAGTCTGAGCTGAAGTGAGGTTCTCTGATTTCCAGTTCAGAACCATTTCTGCTATTTCCTATGGCCTCCTATAGTAAGTCTAGGATTTTCTAGGAGCATGTTAGAGTCATTAAGGGATGACAATATCAGTGGCGGTGATCTTGATGTTTTACCTCTCAAAATAGTCTGCTTGAGTATTTTGACTTTAAAGATTCTGCATTGGGGCTGCAAGAACAAAAATGTCCAAGTATTCACTGAAAATGGCCTTTGACATAAGAATAACTTCCTGGATTTATCTCAATAATTCAGATGTGCATAAAACTATTATTTTATAATCATCTGAACTGCTTGGTCCTGATATTCCAGATCAACAATGATGCAATATTAGAGTGTTAAACTTGACCAATTTTAATTCTGATCATACACATTGGTTTTCTTTTTCCTTGAAATATTGTTAAAAAGAGAAGCCTGCATTAATGCCAAATAAAATACCTGAATTGAATATATAAGTATTTAATCTAGAAAGAAAAAAATTCAACCATTTACATTTTTTCTTCTAAATGTTGACAAATGCCATACTGGAGCAACATGCTAAAATTGACATTATAAATAGTTTTTAAGGGAGCAAATCTCCGCTTTAAATCTCATCATAAAAAACTTTATGTATATTTGCTACATAAATTCAAGAACCTCTGAGTTTACAGAATAATTTAAAAAGGTAAGTGCAAAATAAATACATTTGAACTCAGACATGATTATCATGAGGATTAAACATAGCAATGAAGTGCAAATAGATCTGAACAGGAAGTTCAAATTGAAAATACTATCAGAATAAATCATATAATGTAACAAAAAGTGAAGAGAAAATTACTGTTTAAAACATGGCATTTTCCAACTCTTTCTACTAAATTGAATCTAGTAACTGACTTTTTTCATTGAACATAAACATGAACTTAGAATTATGTCACAAATGATCTAATATTTATTGTTCTGCACTTTGGTTTTTAAATTCATTGAAAATTCCTTTATATTTAGAAAATACCCCTTTAATATATTTTAACCTCTTGACTAAAATAATCTTCCTAGTCTACAAAAATTTTCTGGATGTATTTTCTTCATTTCTCTTTTTGATGTGAATATCTAAATACCTGTTCTCTGTATTTTACAGGCGTACACATTCCTGTGATCATGAGCCTGACTCAAACTCAATTTATAGCAAACCGTCCATTTTTGTTTATTATGAAGCATAATCCAACAGGTACTATTTTTGAAAAGTTTTTCAGAGTGCTCCCTAAGTTAAGCTGCAAATTGGAATCTGAATATCTAAAATCATTTTTCATGAAAGGTACTTGCTAAGTACATGATATAAATCAGGCATCATACTTTAGTAGCTGATGAGGGCCTCGGTTAGGACAATGGTAAGAATGGCTTTCTCTATAGTTGTCACACATAGTATCCATTTTGCATGTATATCTCTAAAGGTTAGACCATTCTGTAAGGGCTAATATTTAACTAATAGAGAATAGAAGCTCAGAGAATGTGTAGAGAGCTGTAGAGTGTAGACTGAAGTTAACTCTTTTTATGACCCCTCATAAAAGAGGGTTGAAGTAGAGTTGTGACTTGAAAGGGTAAAGGACCATCACAGGCTTCCAGGTCAACATAATTCTAAACCTACACCTAGACAATTGGTGAAAGAGGATGCAGTTTCAAAACAGGTACAAAAGAGAATATCGCAGACCCCCAGGGTTAGTTTGGCACTTGTAGATAACACACAATGGCGTTACACAGTGTCAACATGTGGAAATCCAGATTGTCTTGACATGTGTTGGAGAATTTGTTTTTATGACAAAATAGAGGCCAGAAATGTGACTGTAATGGGGACATTTTCTTTAGGCATGTACTGAGACTCTGGCAGTCAGAATATCCAGGTGAAAAGTATGAACTGTAAGGGAACAGATATCATGTTCAGCGCAGATTTTGGCAAAATGTCTGGCAGAGAGTCAATATCCCTAGAGCCCAAGAATGTGGGCTCAGCTGAGACCAGAACCAAAATTCCAGATCAGTTAACTAGCAGCACTAAGATGAGTTTCTTACCTTCCTAGGCCACACTTCCTGAATTTCTTATTTGAGCACAATGTTAGTGCTTACCTCATAAAGCTAAATCAAACCATACGTGAAGCTGGTGACAGTGTGCCTGGAACATACTAAGTGTTTACTAGAAACACATCAATAATAAATGTGACGGAGTAACTGAATAAATGAAAAGAAGATTTAGAGTTTCTCTGTAATCACTGGTTTACATGAAAAACAGGTAGTTAATCTCAGAGTCTAGACTGAGATTTAGAGGTACTGGTATTGGCCCGCTAAGATATATTCCAATCTCTTTTCTAATTCTCTGAAACTAATGCTGAGTGATCCTTTTGAAAGTTGTATCTTATAGCATAATAGTTTTAGAATTGCTGAGGTTGCATTAACCCGAATTCAATTCCAATAGTCGATGTGTCAGTACAATAATAGTTTCTGAGTTTGACATTTGATCTATATGTCTTTAACCTTTGGATAACTCTAATTTCTCACAGTTAGTATATAATTGAGTATGGAGCAAAGAAAAGAAAGAAGTCATATTGGGCATCAGTGTACAAGTAAATAGTGACATTTAGAATAATGATGATGGACTCTATTTTCCAAGTTGATGACTCAGTACATTCTAAGGACATCTAACAGCTTTTGGTAAAATGACAGTAAAAATTCCAATCTCCAAATAGTCCACTTACATGTTTATTTGTGATAATGTGTAACTATCAGGACTTAATGACAGTTTTTACTGTTTTATGATCTTTATTATAATGAGACTTTCTAAAGGAGGGTTATTCCTTTAAAATGTCCTTTCAGACGAATGGGCACTCATTATTAGATGGTGTAAATTGTTGCAATATGCAATCTGAATGGCCTATTGTCTTAAAACAATATACATTTAGTGATTTATCTATTTTTCTCTCACAAACAAACTAGAAGCCATTGAGATTAATGAAGATGGTGATTGAGCATCATTGCATTAAACTTAAACAGGTTCATGCTTTACATAAAATATTTTCAGTTGGCAATTTCTGAAGTCAGAGGATAAATGTTTTTAGCTTTAAAAAACTAATTTTTATCATGACTTAAATGTTTCTTTTGACCAACACTGCTCTTGTGCAAACTATATTTGGATTTCTCATTGCATGCATTCTAAAATGTTTATTTATCTAAAGTTCTACATCAAACTTCCAGGAAAATGATTTTCTTTTTCACTTTTGTTGGCTGAGAGCTTAGGTTCCCTTTATAGACTTTGAGAAGAAAATTGTGAATGATGCTACATGAAATGGGCCACTTTTGAGGTGCACCTCAAAGTGCTTTTGAAAGTGGCATCCGCACATAACAAAAGTTACTACATTTTGAACCTGTTCAGGTCTTTGGTCAAAAGAAGAAGCAGACTGCAAATACTAATTGAGCATCCTTTATTCTAGCCATTTGCTATATTTTACTGAGTATTTTAATATTAAGAGGTAGAAGTTGTTTTGTACTGAAGGGGACATTGTGTATATATTTCAATTAAGTGTGGGGACACCTATTTGGCAAGGCAGTAGGAGGAGAGAAATGGAAGAAATAATGATTTTTGCCTCAGTCTGCCTCCTAAATTCCTGGCTTTATTTCATGGAACATTTCAGTTTGGTAGTGACCAGCTTGCTGACTGTATGACGACTCAGCTCAAAATGCAGTTCTTGGTGATAAAAACAGCTTGAAAAGGCCAGGACAATGACTTATATGTAGTTGCCTCATACTTCTGAAGCTTCAGCAACTTAAATCATGGTTTTCAATTGGTGTAAAAGGCATTATAATATGATATATATATATATATGTATATATATATATATATATATATATTCTCAGGGTTCAGGTATTCATTTTTATCATGCACATGTATTAATAAAGAGCAAAGACTTCTCCAACAAACAACTATGAGAAGCATTCTGGGCCACAGCATCCTAAAGATGTAAGAGTCACTGCTGAGTCTTATTTTGATTGAATATATTTATACTGGGGAAGTTATGTTCATACTTTCAACTATCTGAAAGACAGGACTACTTATTTTCTTTGATTTCCCAGAATAATTTTGAGATTTTGAGATATTATTGATTTTAATTATTTATAAAAAGAAAATGTAAAGTTATTTGAAATTAGGTCTACTTCCACGTTACTGGCTTTTCTCACAGTGTATCTTAAACATCAATAGTTCATTAAAGTGGTTTCCCATTATTACTTCAAATACATTTGAGTGTTATTTTATTCAGCTTTACAATTATGCAAAATGCGTTTGATCACATTTGTGTATTTTTGGTACTGGGAATCGAACTCAGGACCTTGTGCTTGCCAGGCAGGCGCTGTGCCTGCAGAGCTATACACCTGGCCCATTTTGTCACTTTTGATATTAACTTTCACTACAACTAAGAGTATCATGTATTTAAGGTAACACTTTACACTAACCCCAAGCCACATCTCTTTGTCCTGTGGAAAACAACAGTGAATAAATTCTTTCTGCTGTGTCCTCTAGTTCTTTCTTTTTCACTTGCAAACACAGAATGGCTGGGAGCAGGTGATGGCCTTTATGTTCTATAGTCCATCATCTTGGTGAGGACTTGAAAGTTTTAGCGATACAAAGATATTGTCTTTAGCAATAAAGCAAGCTTTGATTCAGAGCTGACGGAGGAGATCCGGGAAGCAGCACTTCTAACCCTGAGGCATACACTCCCCGCATAAAAAGATGACTGCTGATGTGTTAGATTTGCGATTCCACTGTGCTCATCACCATTTTATTATGCTGTTTGCCTGACTGAGTGTCTATATTTAGAAGAACACCTCTCTCCTCACTTTATTTTTTGCTTTCCTATATGAAAAACAAGACTAATGCATTTTCCATGACAAACTGTTGTAGGTGCTAATTTGCTTCATAAATCACCAGAAAATGATTAATAATGATCTAATTATGCATTTTTGACAAAAGAGAGGGCTAGTTATTAGACACTGCCTATGGAGAAAAAAAAAGACTTACTGATTGTTAAAATATTAAGAAAAGTAACTATTGTCAATTTTTTTCTGAAATTTGAAAAATCTGTTTCACTTCTTTTCCTAGAATCAATCTTGTTTATAGGAAGAGTGACAAGTCCTGACACCCAAAAGATGAAGGGAAGAGATTTAGATTCACTGTGAATGAAAACGAACCCCAGAATTCAAGACAAATCTTGGGAAGTCGTTGATTGGCATTACTTTTAAACTATTTTCTTCGTATCATTTTTTGTTCATAATTCTGCCTATATAAATCTGTATTAATATAGTTCTGTATTAATGGAGATGTGAAATTAAATATACAATTGTTTCTGATCTATCTGTATAGCTTATATAAATTCAAATCAGGTGAGCCTATATAAAATAAAATCATTAGATGTTAGAACAATTCTAAGATAATTTTGATATCAAATTTCTGCATTAGGTATGAAATTCCTTATATTCCTGGGAGACTGGCCAATCAGACTCCTCCACAGTGTAGCATCACCTAGACCATGTGGAGGGAAATTCAAGAGGGTAGGTGTGGTTTATGTCGATCAAAGCTCAGAGATCCGGTACCTATGACAGTAAATAAACTTTTAAGTTTCTTGTGAATTTTAACATGTTTTTTCATGTGTTACATTTAATGTCTGAATTGCTTCAATGTCTTTTGGAATATGTCAATTTTTTTCATGTTTATTTATTCTGTAAACATGTACAGAAAGCAGAAATGCTGAGCAATTTATAAAGCTTTCTTAGCTTCATGTGTAAAAGTAGCCACCATATTAGCATGGTACAGGAGAATAATTTCTACAATTTTATAATTGTGAGCCAAGATTGTCTTCCATAAAGCTGAATGTAGAGCCCTTCCTCTGTGTGCCCTACGATGTCATATCTAAACAGCAACCATAATGCTGCATTCCAACGTGACTTCAGGTAACACATTTCATCCATTGTTATGCTAATGACATGAAAAGCCTTTTGTCTGTCATGACAATGATTGGCAAGCAGCTTACCAATAATAGTTATTCCTTGTCCAACCTTAACTGTGTATTAGACACTGAGATAAGCAGGTTATTTACATTATGCTAAATGTCTTTAAAATCCTGTGAAATACTATTAACTCTTTTCCTGATAAAGAAACTGAGACAGAAGGAAATTATATAAATTAATCAAGGACCCAGGATAATTAAATACAGTGAATACATTGGAACTCAAGACTGTTTGACCTAGAAGAGTATGACCCTTTGCAGAGGAGGGAAACTAATTTTTGTTCGTCCCAATGCAGTTGTTAGTTGGGACCTTCTGTAACAACAACAACAAAAAAAATTACAGGAAAAAAATCATGCATCATCAAATACATAGAAGATAAAGGACACTTACCAAGGTTTCTTATGTAGATGTTTTGTGGTACAATCTCCAGTCTGGTAAGTGTTCATCTTCAATTGCAATGAACTCAATAGTTGTTATAGTTCTCTAACCTGAATGTGATGATGTATGAAATTTATTTATAAAATGTATATTCATTTATGAAAGAAAATAAGCATGAAATAATTTTTTTTAATTTTTATTATTGTGAAAGAGTACAAAATAGTCTTAAAAGAGAAAAAATACCAATGCTACAGAATTTCACAAAACAAAATAATATGAATTTCACAGTATTTGTTTTGCATAGTGTTGTCTTCAAATTAGTTATTCATTACCAGATATATGCATGCAAAATTAGAAGAAAGAAAAAGAGAAAGAAATATCTAAGAAATTAAGAAGAGAAAAAGGTCAAAGAATTGAAAAAAGGTTATAAAACAAATTAAGTACCAACTGTTCCTTTCCATAGACCAGCAGAAATCCACAGTACAGTTTTACAAACCATCCTGCTTACATAAGAAATATTTGGGAAATTTTTAGGAATCACCAGTAGTATATAATGTGAGATAAAAATAATGAGGACTTAATAGCCTTCATGAAGCCTACGGTATCACACATATGACATGTATTTTTCCTTATGAGGCAAATGTTATTCAGGTGGCAGTGTTCCAGTGGGAAATTTGGAGCTGAGTAAAACTAACAATATATGGCTTGAATTCAGGCCCTATTTGGAGGTATCTGCTGCATCAGGCAGGAGGAGCCATAGGTCAAAATCCTGAGATCAGGCACATTTTTTTTTTAGGGTGAATTTTATAAAATTCTATGAATTGGATAATAAAGTTCTGGAAATAGGGAAAAAGATATCAAGAAAATTTTAGGCAATTTTCACTAAAATTCGGTGCTCTGAGTTTGAAAGCAAAACATTTTCACACAGTATGTGCTTGGCCATTGGAAATCATCTCATGAGGGACCCGAACAGTGGGTCAGCTTGACACAGGCCCCTGTGCCTGTGATGGAGATCTAGTATACTTTAATCTGTTTGCTGCTAGGAATAGTTTTTTTTTTTTTTCCCCTGTCACACTCTTCTGCCTTTTCCCCCTTGGTGTTTTATGTGAGAATCGCTAAAGCTCAAATATGAAATTCAAGGGGTAAAAAATATAGTTTCTTTCTCTGTTTGATACCTTGGGTGTTCACCCTGATGGCAAATATAAAGGAGATGAAAGAGCAAAACTTTACACTGTTGAACATGCTAGCTCTTCGCTTGTCATCTTTGCTCTCGGGCTGCGGTGTCCTCAGTTCTACCATGAAGAGCCAGACAATCCTATTGAAAGTCTTTATTCTAAAGTCACATGGCTGTAAACTTTGGATTTTTCAGCAAAGAGATATCTCTGAAACAACGTCTTTTGAGTCATTATTGTATATAAGCAGTTTCTTTCCATCTTCACACACACACACACACACACACACACACACACACAAATAAAATCCCAGAATGCACCACTCCCTAACATCTTGGTTCATTATGTTATCTTTAGTTATAGTGTTCTCTTTAATTTTGAAGTTTAATTTTTATAAACAGGAAAATTTCTCTACCATGACAGACCTCTATCTACTGAAGATTTCTGACTGAAAGTTCACAGGGCAGAGTTGTGGTGCACAGCATCAGCTTACCCAGGAACTGCATGTCTTTCATCCTCAGATTTATACAGTGGAGCTGCATTCTTGTCAGCAGAGGGTAAGTCAAGGTGAGTGTGTCACTCGCGAGCCCACAGTATTAAGAAAGAATTGTATCTAAAAGATCTCTTTCACCATGCCATCTAGATGTCAGCACAAGGTGACCCTCTAACCCATATTTGAAGCTGACAGATCTATTAGCCACTGTTCCTCGATGACTGTGTGTCACAAAGCCCCTTTACAGACTACTCTAAATACAACCAGGAATACCTTCCCTGGATTGTGAATGAGCACAGTTATCTTTGTATGATGCTTGAGGGACAATTTGTGAAAAGGTTACTGTTAATTTAATACACCTAACAGAGTGTTCCGATAGTGCAACGATTATAGCATTCTTTGAAGTTGAACAGGAGTCCCCACAACATCATCAGCACAGACATAGAAGGCTGGGAGGGAGAAGAGCTGCAAAAATTTTTGATACAAGTACTGCATCTGGGAATTTGGAAGGAAGATCATGTGAATACTGGCTGAATATCTACCAAGATGTCTCAGTTACTCTTCTCTCATTGTGGGGGCAAATACCTGACACTCAAAATGAAGGAAGGAAAGGTTTATTTAGCTCACAGTTACTGGAGGTTTCAGTCCATTCTTGACTGGCTCCAAGGCAGAGTGGCACATGGCAGAGGGCAGTAGTTCATGGCGGTGGCAAGGAGCAGAGAGAAAATGGAGGTGTGGCAGCAACAATGGCTACAGAGAGCAAGTCTGTCTCTCTGTCCCTATGTTACATTCAGGCTATCTGCCCCTGGCTGGGTATAGCACTCAGACCCATAATCCCAGCAGTACTCAGGCCCATAATCCCAGCCTCGGATCATCAATTAATCACAAACTGTAAGAACTGTGCCTTAATGACTGCATGAGGCTTTTGGGAGACAGATACACACAAACCATAACATAAGACAGTATCTATGATTTCTGTAGAACATGGTAGACCTCTGAGTCCACCTTGAGCAGTGTACTATGAACAGAATGATAGGCATTACTTCTTGCTGTGTTAGTTAGGAAGCAAGTTCACCTGGATTTATTTTGTCTTCCCTGCCAGCTGAATATCAGCATTTGAGTGATGATGGAAGTGAGGGTTTCTCTGCCATGGCTCCTCAGTGCTTGCATGGGTCATGGCGACACTATCTTCTGCATCACCAGCACTCATGGGACTCTGAGGAAGGATTTATACTGCATGGTGATAGGTCATTGAAAAGAAGTAGTTAGTACTCAGTACAATAAAACAAATATGTTCTCAGTACAAGCTTTAGATGCAGTATATTTTCTCATCCTGGCATTAAACATCTCTTAAACTAATATTCTTAATTTTCCCTTTAAATTTACATTATTATGTGTAGAAAGTGTTGGAAGGATATTATTGTGCATTTTCCCATGAAATCACTCTTATCCACCATAATAATGGAGCTTGTTCATCAGGAAAAAAATGACAAAGATCACAGAAAATCCACTAGTGGGTTGCTTTTTTAGCTGGCTGTCAGGTAGCTCTCTTGCTCAAGTCTATTTGCATGATCTTAAAAGGTAGCTTTCACCTGAGAGTCACATATGTATATTTGTGAACTGACGTAAGAAGGATATTTTAAGATTTGTCTAAAATAGTCTTTTGACAAATAAAAATTATTCATACTTGCAAGGGGTGAAAACATGGTCTTTTAAATGATATTTAAAAGCATATGCTTACACTCTCCACAGAAGAGTAAATAAGAAAAGGGAATCAGAAGAAAATTCTTAGCAGATTTCTGTAGAGACCAAAGCAAATTTTCCTTTAGATTATGTATACGTATTAAATTTAAATTATTTGGTTAGACACAATTTGTCTAACACTATTTATATGCATGTACCCATGAAAATACTCAGAGTGAAATTTCTTGCAATAAATTTCCTATTTTATAATTATCAATAGCGTACATTTAGAGAGAGCTCCCCATCTTGAGTAATACTTACATCTTAGACAATATTCACGTCAGTGTCGCACCCTTTATAAAATGAGGTAATTCATTTTCCAAAAGGTTAAGGAGATTTACCCCAAGGGCCACATCTAAGAAATGGGAAAACTCGTATCTGAATTC